TAAAATTAGATTTACTTATATTATGGAAGCCTTTTTTTTTTTTGTATGATTTATCACCACCAGATATTTTAATTCATATTCCTAATTTATATATATTCAGGGTTGCAAAAGCATTTTCTTGAGTAAGTAGGATCACCAAGTTCAGAGATCTTGTCTTAGAGTATAAAAAATGTAATAAATTTTTTACATTTTATTTGCCTAAAATTTTCCAGAACGTAAATATTTAAAACAAGAGCGTGAAGTATGACTTCAGTTTTTGTGAAAACCATATGCTATCCAGACTAGAGGGTATTTCCTCATTCTTATTTATTATATGTACATAATATGTGTGTATCTTCTGTACATTTACACCAAAATTAGTAAATTCATTGTTATGGAAATCTCATTAGTGCATGTAATGTCTAAGTAAGCACTTACTAGATTCATATTTACTAATGCGATGGTATACCATTTAAGTCACCAAATTTTAAAAAATCTGATTTGGATACCACATGACTTCTTTCTATGGCGTATTAAATTATGTACTTTTTTTGCTGCAACAATAAACTGATGCTAAATATTGTTAGATATTTACAACAATAAACTGATATTAAATATTATTGGATATTTACAACAGTAAACTGACATTAAATATTGTTAGACTAACTACATAGACATTATTAAGATTTCATTAGTTGACAAATATTAATTTTTTTAAATTTAATACTGCTAAGACATAATTTTTATTTAAAACACTTCTGTGGTTAGAAGTACATGACTACGACCAATGATTGCAAAAAATAAAGGCTGGGGAAGTACTTTCAAGCCAGGTAAACAGGCATGTGTATATATATATATATACACACATATTCAGTTTTGCTGATTGCAATAGAAGCAAGGAACACAACTGTATGTATAGCAGTCCTATATACAGTCAAATGTCGTTAATCCGGACTCGTTGGGACTTCGGCAATTCTGGATTATAGATCATCAGTTTAAATCTGGTAAGATGGCATGCAGAAATTATAAAATTAAAAATATTAAACCATAATTTATGAAATAAAGAACAATTATGATCTAAAGGGTATCAAAATTTACAAAAAAAAAAAAAAAAAGCTTAATATTTATTTGTTTACTTTATTAAACATTTCTTTCAATGTAAGTTGTTTAAGTTGCTTCGTTTTATGTGATAATACTTTCTCTTTAATTCTATAAACAGACATAATTTCTTCTTCAGTTGCAAAGTTCCGCTGTTAAAGTCCCATAATTGCTGTGTCGAGAATACCGACTAATTTGTCAATCGAAATTTTTTCGTTTTCAATAACCTCTGTATCACTTTCTTCTTTATCGGAAGCGAATTATAATGACGAGGAATTTGATTTATATCATATCAAAGACGGAGTACATCGAGATGAAATACTGCATTTAGTAAGGAATTATAAGCCAAATAAAATAAAAACATCTGCCCTGAAGATAAAGATAGTGCTGTCAGATCAACTTCCAATTCATTGCATGCCGCGGCGTTAAAGATAAACAAATGTTAAAGTTTAGATAAACAAAGGATATGCCTATATCCATTTTTTGTAGCAATTCCACTTTTTGTTTAATGAACTTCGAAACATACTTTTGCTTTGTAGATCCTTTATATATTAGTAAATATATATCGGAAATTCTATTTGACGTAATCGAAAGTTCAAGCTTACTTTTATAAAATTGCTCTAACAGTCTGCAAAAAATAATAAGGCGGATCCAATTCGAAGATTCAGGAACAATGCAATCTGCAACATTAACTGAATTAGATAATTTTAGCTTAGCTTATACCATCCGTTATACATTCAATGGGCAAGCGTAAACGTATTGCGTGCATGCGCACACGCATATTTGCAGCCGTAAAAGTCTTACGCGCATGCATGAACGCGACGCTTGGGCAGAAAGTTTGTAGCTTTGAGGTCCGAATTAACGACTTTTGACTGTACAAAATTTTAATGTCCTGTGGCTAATCAGTTTTGAGTTCTGTAAGATACATACTATGTACGTGCAGACATCATGAAAACTTCTCCTTCAATATGCCATTTTACATTCTGCTTTGGGAAAAAAGAGGAAATATATAATAATAATTTCTAAAGCAGCCTATGAGGTAAAATAATATCTGATGTCATATGTTAACTGAAGAAATCATGTAACTGCAACAGGTCTCTGCCCATACTAGAACTGAAGATTCAAAGAAAATTCAACGACAGAAAAACCACAGGCTTCTGAATTTAATGCCAGAGGTCATTCAGTAATTATAGGATTAAGAATCAATCACACATAATTCAGGAATGAAAATCAATCCAGAAGGCACAAATTTTAATGCTAGGAATTGCCCAAACTGAATTCAGTCCTTATCTAAGTGTGCCATGCATCATTGATATTGCCTCAGAACATTCATAGATATCCCATAGAAAAATGTACTTTTTGGATATAATTAAAAATATAAAGCATTAGTTAGTATTGCATTATTATATGTATGAGCATTATATATAGACTGGTTTCATTCTTTGATGGATACAACATCCAAACCTGTAAATTTTTTAATTTATTATACATTCTTCATATTATACTGAGATAAGTGTAATAATTTGAGCAATTATTTTAAGTTTTATTGTTAGCAATATTTCCTGATATAAATTTAAATGGTGGAAGGGCTAAAGTTTTGAAATATTGGTTTAGCATTAATTATATTTTGGCAAAAAAATGGGCTGGCTCAACTTTGTCCTTTTTACATTCTGCCTAAAAAGTCTTCCACAAATGCCTTTATTCTCAATAGAAATATAAAGCGCTTTATCATATTCCAATCTAATCTCATCTTACTTAAAATAATTACCAAAAGATTATTACAGTGGTGTAGCTAGGGTGGGGCAAGGAGGTGCATCTGTCCCTGGGTGTAGCATCCAGGGGCGCCAAACTGATGTTACGAAATTTTAGAATGAAATGTTTTTCATTCTTGGCACACAGAAAGGGGTGCAAGATCTTTAGCTGTCCCTTGGTGCTGAAAAACCTAGCTACGCCTCTGGGTATTATAAAAATGGTTTATGAAGAGATATTGTGCAAAACCTTTAGCAATTTAAAATGAATTCTAATATTAAAAATGTTTTAAAATAATTTTTATTGCATATTAGTTAGACTAGGGTTTCTCATTTGAGTTGATGAATTTTTAAAGGGTCTCTATGATGGTCAACGATTCAATATCCAAATATGCAATGACAATTGATCAGCACAATCAAAATCCCACTGACTGTAAAAAAAAGTATTAATAAAAAAATATAATAATTTTTAAATGATATAAAACCTTATATACAAATAAATCAAGTCATATTCAAAACACATATGAGTGCACTAAGTTTGGTAATTTATAAATCATCCGAGAGAAATATCCCAAAATTAAAGATGTTACCAAACCAATATTATAGAATTTTTTTTCCTGTTACCTACTGGAGAGAAGCTTTAGTCAAGTCAATAATTTTCTACACTAAACAAGAAATTAGCTGAATATGTCTAAATGAGCTGATTTAAGAATTAAGCAGTTTTATGCCAAATATTAAAAAAAAAAAAAAAAAAAAAAAAAAAATATTTCAATACATCAAGTGCAGCCATTACATTTATTAAAATTGAATTTTGGGGCAATTAGAATCTGTGATTTTGCATCTTTTGCAAGTTTATTTTGCATCTTGTTTATATCTCTAAAATTCAAAATAATAAGAATTCAAATAATAATAAAGCATAAACCTAAAAAAAAAAAAAAAAAAAACAGTTTTTTTCTCCAAATCTTTTATGCATATTTTTAGTCTAGTTCTATAATCTTTAAGCTATGTATGCACAATTATTTGTATTGTTATTATGTTGTATGCTATATATTATAGAGAAAAATATAAAAGGCTTAATGAAGAAAAAGGCTGGGAATCCTTAATTTAAACTATAAATTTTTAAAAAAGTACTCTGCTTTACAGGGCTCATTCTTGGTACTTTCAGATGTAATGCAATATATATATATATAAGGAATAAAATCTTATGGAAATATGTGTGGCTACGTATATTAATTTATCTGCAGAAAAAAAAAAAGTAAACTACAAAATTATCTACAATCAAAATAAGCTTAATTGTGCAGAAAAATATAGTTTTTTCATGAACTGAAATTAAAACAGAGTGTTTAAAAAAGTTCTAAATAATGTAAAGTTCAACTTATTGAGGAAAGTTAATATTGTATTTGAGTTCTGCATGTTAGTGTTTATAGAAATCAGAGGTAAGCTCTGATTTCTATAAACATGTTTCTGACTGCATTCAGAAACGTATAGTGTTCAGAAATGTATGTATACAAAATGTATATAATATATTTTGATTTATTATCTATACATACAAATCATGCATATTTACTTCCTGAATGTAGTTTATATTTTCTGTTTGGTTTACTGTAACATACATACTGACATAAAATTTTGATTGAAGAAAGGTTTCCAAGTTTACTACTCAATACATGAGTAATTTTTTCTTTCAGGCAAACGATTCTTTTTTTTTTTTTTTTTTTATTTACTTTATTTTCATACGAGTTTATCACTATATGAGGAAAAAACCATAAACTAATCATAAGCATCTTCAAAAGTTTGTTAATTTTCTACACTATTTTTCTTTTCGAAACGATATTTAATGTCCTCTGACATAAACAGCCTGAAATTTTCAAACAATTTTTTGGATTAAAGGCTCTAACGATGAGGATAAATAACATTAATTAAAAGAAAATTATATAATCTACATATAAACTTAGTACGAATCATTCATTTTCTCGGCAATGCTTACTCGTTTTCCTAAATAATTGAAATTATTTTCTTTGCGATAAAGCGCCAAATATGACACATTTAAAGTAACCCTATATTTTTGCGCATGCGCAGCTGAACTGTTATCATGGGGAAAAGCACGGAATAAGTCTGTATTTAACGTCGCGTCGGTTTGCTTGATGCCTCACTCAAACTTTTCAGAAATATTCTCTTGGCAACGGTTGGGGGAAAAGAAAGTACTGCCGGCTGTTTATGATACCGTGAAAGTAGTAATTCTAACATTTATCGTCTGTGATATGACATTGAAATTTTCACTAACATCTATGATCATTTAATTTTTATATATAATCCGAGTACATATCTCTGCTTATTAAAAAGGTATATTCTAATTTTTATTGTTTGATATCCCTTATGGTTGTTAATTCCACGTACTGTATTTGATGAAGTAAGTATAATTTACTACGTGATTTCAGGTTTCTTCTTGGATGTGCTGATATTTGTGACTTGCGAGCTTTCATAACAAATATCCGATCTATGATCCTTTCAAATTTTTCTTACACGAGAAATTTAATTTATGATTTAGAATATAAAATGTGATTTATGTATTTATTTTAAATATATTTCAGGAACGATAGTGCGAATATTGATAAACAGAAAAATCGTAGTTTCTGTCTTGCAGTTCTTCACAGAGCTTTGTGCTAGATACAGTGCCTCACAAAAGTGATGGGACATATGTGCTTTACAAAAGGAAACTGTAGTAAAATAGATTAAGAAAACATGTAAAAATTTTTCGTGTGTTTCATACTTAAATTTAGTAACAATTATTACATAACATACATTTTCTCAAAATATTAATTTAATAAAAATATAATTGTTTAGAACGGAGCAAAAAGTGGCTCACATAAGTGATGGGACACTTACTTTTCCATCAAATATTTATCCAAAATTTTACTTTTTAAAAGGTTTTAATATTTTGTTGGATTTCTTTTTACTTTTAATACATAATTTAATCTTCTTGGAATGGATTTGACTAATTTTTTTTTTGTGATTTCTGGAGTAATTTTACCCCATTCTTCTTGAAGCACCGATTTTAATTGTTGTTTTGAAGAAATGGTTTGTTTAAGACACAATAACACCGCAAATAAATACTAATTCAGAAGTCAAACAACAAAAATCAGCGTTATATTTACAAAATTTTCACAGGACTAGTTTCGATGCCGGCAGCTGAGGATGGTGGTTCGGTAAAACCATCGAAACTAGTCCTGTGAAAATTTTGTAAATATAACGCTGATTTTTTTAAATGGTGTGTTTGCGAATTCTTGATTCCAATTCTTGCCAAATATTCTCTATGGGATTTAAGTCTGGAGATTGTGGTGGTGTTTTTATTATTTCAGGATAGTTATACAGCAGCCAGAGTCTAACGTTCAAAGCAATGTGCTTGGGGTCATTGTCCTGGTAGAATTAAAAATCGTTATGAAGGTTCAATATTCGTGCTGAAGATTTCAAATTTTGATTTCAAATGTCAATATACTTGTACTGATCCATTATACTGTCAATAAAAACAAGATTACCAACTCCAGCGGACGACATACACCCTCATACCATAACTCCTCCTTCACCATGTTATACTGTTGGCACCAAGTTCTGTTTACAAAATTCTTCCCTGGGTTTTTTCCACACCAAGATTCTGCTGTCAGAGCCAAATATATTAATTTTACTCTTATCAGCAAATATAACTTCATTCCAGTAATCAGAATTCTTATTTATGTTGGATTTTGCAAAAGCCAGTCTGAGTTGTCTATTCTTTTCACTCAAGAAGAATTTTTTCCTGGCTGCTCTACCGTGATATCCAGCATATCTAATTACTCTTATAATAGTCTCAGGATTAACAATTACTCCATATAATGCTTGTAAATCAGCACAGCAACTATAGGAGCACTCATTCTTGGAGTTTTTTTTTAATATTTCCAACGATAATTCGCTTTATTCCATTGGATAGCTTTGATGGTCGGCCAGGTCTTCTTTTATCCTGTGTGTGTGTGTGTGTGATCATGGCAAAGCCTCGAGGGCTATCTGCCTAAGGGGAGGGATGTGACGATGTGAAAATGGAGTGTGTAGAGTAAAATCTCGCTTTCCTATAGCCCATTATGTTTCAAAATGACACGATTTCGTCACAAAACATGAAATAAAAAAAATTCGAATTCGAATTTCGAAAAAATCGCTTCGAAGTGCACTGGCTCTTGTGTAGATGTACACTGCTCAAAAAAAAAAAAAAAAAAAAAAAAAAAAAAAAAAAAAAAAAAAAAGGACAGTGCTATATCTCCCGTTCTACTGGGCCGATTGACAAAATTCAAATTGCGTTTTTCATGTCTCGAAAGCGCGACTTAGGATATATATTAGATTTATATATAGCACTATTCTAACATAGGTATTTTAACACAAAATCGGACTTTTTCTGAAATAACATACCACTTTTTTTCCATATTTCGATTCTACGACTCAAATTATGCCAGAATACCAAGTTTTGTAAAAATCGTACGAGTAGTTTTTAAAATATTAGCTCTCAAAATTTTAGCTCCTCAATGTTAATTGAATTTGGTAAATATTTATTAATATCTCCTTTTTTTATTAAACTTTTGATTTTTTCTCTCACATTTCGAAATTTAGGTTCATTCCAAATAAAATTTACCCATTTTTTGTGTTTTATTTTTTAAATTTCTATTTTTAAATAATTTTTATAAATTTTTCGAAAAAAATTATAACCTATAAAATTTTTACCATCATCTTAAAGTAGGTGTATTTTTAAGCATATCTGCAAAAAATTAGACTTTTTTATTCAAAATTTTCTAAGATATACACGAATTTACATATTTTCACGTTTTGAAATTTGGCATCTTTTTTTTTTGAGCGATAATAACGCCAAATGTGGTCTATGGATTTTTGTTACAGTGAATTGCCACAGTTATTTTTAACCTTAAATTTCAAGTAAAATTTTATGGAGAATTAATTATATGACATTTTTTTCCCTCAATGATGCGTAATAAATATTTATTAATACTAAATGAAAAGCTATTTTTTTAAATTATCGATGATATTATTTAAATTTTTAACTGTTTTTTTTTTATTTCTCTCTATCTTTTTTAACAAAATAAATAAATAAAAAATAAGAGTAAATTTTTACTTTCGGCGTTTTATCGTCTGCTACATTACTTCGTTTAAATCGAATTGTCTTAAACTGAGAATTTTCGTTTGATGTTTATTTGAATTTTATGACATTAACTGCATAATTTATTTCTAAACAAACTGTTGCTTTTGAAGTGGCTCAAAGAGCGGCTGATACTATCATCCACATTTTTAAAGCACAACGTATTTTTATAGAAACATAAGATTTAGAATAATCATTTTTATAAAAGTCAAATTATGATATAAACATACAACCCTCTAGAGATTGAATTAATGGAAGTTCAATGGTTATGTAGAAATGATCTGCAGCTACTTAATGGCTGGATAAGTCAGCAGATTCTGTGGACAAGTAAGAATAATTATATAAACGGCACCCAACATTCTGGATTCAATTAACAACGAGGATACGATGTTTATTAAATGAATTCAAGAAATTTTAAAACATAAAAAATTAACTCATTCATTTTTTTATCCTAAAATGTATTTTTGTGCGTAGCGTATTTTAATTATATCCTTAAAATTCTAATTTAAAATGTAATTGTCAAGAACAGAATCCTAATCATCAGTAATATAATAAGTAATTATCACGGTTATTAATAAATCCTTCTTAAAAAGTAATTGCAAATATTTCAAAAAACTTTTTCTGAATGCAAATATTTTTCTGTGCAAATACTTTTAATTTTATATTAATCAAGACTGCACACGATATTATTTATTTGCACTTCAATTCTTACCGTCAGTTTTAGTAGAATTTACAAATCAATTATATTTAATTAAGGATTGGATTGGATTGCCTTGGATTATTTAATTATGGCAAAGCACACGAGGGCTATCTGCCTAAATGGAGGGATGCCTTCGTGGAGGACTTTCTAAGGGAAACTGGCTTGTATACACGTTACACATGGGGAAAACCACGAAAACGCCCATGCAGCCAGCCCGTTCGCGGGATTCGAACCTCGGACCGAACTACCAGTGTTCAGTTACTTTACCGCTCGGCCGCTGGTGGGCCTTCTTTTATCCTGAATCATATGATTCTTTTTATATCGTTTAATGATCTTGAAAACTGTTGAATGACTCAAGTTAACTGTTTCAGCAGTTTTTCTTATAGATTTTCCACGTTCAATATGCAAATTAATAATTAATTTTCGAACTTCAGGCAAAGTTTCTTTCGTTTAGCATTTATGGCTGCACAGAGCTAAAAAACACAAAAATTCCAAAAAAAACCTGGAGAGAAATACTGCAGACGATTTTATAAATTATTGCCAATTGCTTTTGAGTAAAAATAAAAATCCCCCAAAATATTTTTATTGTAGTACGTAGTAGTATCTAATGGTGTCCCATCACCTATGTGAGCCATTTTTTGCTCCGTTCTAAACAATTGTATTTTATTAAATTAATATTTATTATTTGAGAAAATGTATGTTATGTAATAATTCTTACTAAATTTAAGTATGAAACACACCCACAAAAAATGTTTACATGTTTTTTTAATTTATTTTATTACAGTTTCCTTTTGTAAAGCACAAGTGTCCCATCACTTTTGTGAGATTCTGTACCATATTGAACACAAATCTAATTTTTTAACATATGTTATTAATACTATGAGTTCACTATTTATACGAGCTGTACTCAGTTGTAATTTTAATCGAAGTATATATTTGAAACATTTGCCAGTTTTATCAGATTGAAAATTTTCAAAAGCAGTTTAAAGAATTCTGAGGAAACTTTTGTAATGATTTAAATCTGCAGTAGAATCTCAAATTATGCAGGCGTTAGGGCTTCTAATGTACCATACACCTGCAAATCCACATGCAAATTTTTCTGTCTCATGATTTTGTCTGCCATAAAACTTAATTAATAATATCCTGCTGTTGGCCCTAAGTTTTAATGGCAACGTAAAAGTATATTAATTAATATCTTCTGTATTATATGCATCACTTTTAGGACAAGTAAGGAAAAAATGTTTTGGGTTCCAAGAAAGGGGAAATATAAAGCTACAATACTGTACAATATTTATATAGGGTACTGTACCATTGATGGACACATGGGTGGACGTCCAAGCCTGCTATCCTACGTCGGTTTGTTTCGAAAGAAAAACTGTTTGGAACAATTTTTCTGCTTTGTCACAACAGCCAGTCACCATAGATCACTTTGGGATTAACACAGGGAAAACTGGTTTCTTGTTACAAACAAGC